CTGTGTGAATCGCACGTCAGGCATAGATCACTCGCACCACGGGATGGCCAGCGGTGTGTTCCCCCCGTCATCGAGAGTCAAGTTGAACGTAAAAAGAAAGCCCAAGAGATCAGCTTTCTCTTTTACGGCGGGAGCCAGTGAGTCTTCCTCATTTTGCAGAGATGGTAGTAATGGCTTACAGAAATTCCCTTGGACAACCTTGGCGAGATACCAGAATGCACGTGTTCCCGATGGAAGGCGTACTAATTTCTAGCCAATTCTGCCAAAGCGCTCGTACTTTCCCTTGGCAATAACTCTTTTTAAGGACCTAGAGATGAAATTATACTTCTTTTTAAGCTTGCCGGTGTCTACATCCCTTGCCGCCGAAGTCCAGGCCTGATAACACTCCTGTTTACTGCGTAATGTAGTCTTACAGGAACGATCAATAATATGATGGAATAAATATTTCCATACCCTGTAGCACCACATCAGTGACAGAGTAATCATCCAGCGAAAGGCAAACCCGCCCCCATGGGTAGGATGCAAAGAAAGACCGCATTCCATCCCAATCCGCCGACCTGTAATGCCAAACACGGCGGCAACGTGCAGAACGCAACCGCGATGGGAGCGTCAGTGGCCAGTGGCACACTCTGGATCAGACAACGGTCCGAGGAGCCAAGAGGGGTGTCGACGGTACCTTGATATCCATCCGGGTCCGAAGTCAGCAGAGGGTCCAACAGGTAAGATGCATGATTCTTCACATCTGGAATCCGCGTAGGCGAACTAACCAGTTATGTCAGATCATATGCCAAAGCAAAGTCATAATCAGATCTCTCCGCATGATCGGTTAGACGTGAACCAAGCCTTTCAACGGGATGGGCGTTGAAATAGCCCAAATTCACGATTTCTGCGGACGGGATCTGCTGTAGCAAGGAATCTGCAGCTATCTGGACGTGTGTTTCAGTAGTCGGTCTGTTTCAGCATTACTGCTATAGGACCTACAGAGGCACCCGTAGGCTCGCGGATGGTCGTCGCTGTCTACGCGTAGCCAAAGGATGGACAGGTCCTTCAAGATTGTCGAAGCGTCGAGAATAAATATCCTCTCTGACGTATACGCAAACCCCAGCCCGATGCACAAAGCAGTGTTCCTATTTGTACCTCGGGTAGGAGAGATACGAAGTATTAGCTGAAGGGGACACCTGCGTCTCGGTCAGAAAGAACAAGGCCGACTTCGCCGTGTCCAGATAGTAGTGGATGGCGTTTAGGTTCGAGCGAATCCCAGGGCCTTAATCTTTTGGTCAGTTTGCCCCGAGCAGTTTTTGTCTTGAGCGGATTTCCCCCCCTCCCCCAATAATATGCGGGACAGCTTGAGGACCCACGCTCAGGAGTGGAGTTATTAGAGAGAAAATTTTTGACGTGACAACATCTAATAAATCTAATAAATCGATGAACGCCGTCTGCACGCACGAAAAAGGATGACTCATTGTAACGTTACGATCATTGTAACGTTACGATTTGAGCGAGAGCGCTGCACGAGCGAGCGAAAGGCACAATCGGCTTTAGCGTTCGGCATGCGCCGCATCTATCTCTCTTCCACTCGATTGGCCTATGCGTCCGAGGAGAAGAAAGACATCGGTAGCACACAACTTACATCTAGTTCATCAATGTTTTCTTATGACGTTGTCACGTTAAACTATCGTCCGTAAACCGACTTTACTGACAACCAATTTTTTAAACAAAATATCAAAATGGATAACTTCTTATAGACAATGAAGAAACAATGAGAATCACTTTACCCATCCATCCATCGCAGCCTATAAAAGTCCTCTGATTTTACCACTTCACTGCGGTTTACTAATGCAACTATGTCTTTTTGCCACTTTATGTTGCTTCCCATATTCTGATTCAGTTACCCCATGTCGCCTCTTACGACACCATAGGGTGGTTGATATTCTTATGCAGCCACTACATACGGTTAAAGAGAATATCTTATTCTAATCTATTCAATATATTTATTGAAACAACTATAAACTAAGATCTATGTACCTTATGAAAGGAGAGTTCCTCTGCCGTAGAATCAATATCAGCTCGCTCCAGTCGCGGCGAAGCCACCGCTCTGACGGAATAGCTTGAATCTAGCCTGAAATAAAAAAGCTATCATTAATTTGAACTTTGAACTATGAGGTTGTTTGAATTTAGTTTTTTAAATAGAACCGAAGACCCAATTTACTGGAAACTAGGCATTCCATCTTAGTCCTCAGGGGTGACAACGCATCTATATTTTATTTCTTAATACAGGTTAGATGTAGATACCTAAGGTCCACAGCATCTACTTACCATCATTATTAACATCATCGTGTATTATCTACACTAATATTATAAAGAGGAAAGATTTGTTTGTTTGAATTGAATAGGCTCTGAAACTACTGAACCGATTTGAAAAATTCTTTCACCATTAGAATCCTACATTATTCCTGATGAACATAGGCGATAGAACTTTTTCAAAAAATTTAGGGATCCGTATGAAAACTTCGTTAATGTTACCCAAGGTGTGAAAAGAATAACAAAAACAAACCTTATATCGCGTACGCTGCGGAAACTATTGACAATAGAGCAAAGTGATGTGCTACAGTTTTATGGAGGACATCAATATCTACATAAAAGTCTGCAATACCATATGTCTAGCTATTATAGTTATCTCACAATAACTACTTTTCCATGTTAAAATATTCAATAGTCACGTCGAAAAATCCTTATATCGCGTACACTGCCAGCACCATGCGATGCGGGTGTCACTGGGGTGTGAGAGGAGTCTATGTCAAAAAATATAAAAGTACACCATTAATTTTGCTATTTTTTTAGCTAAAATGATTGAACTAAATGAGCAAGGTGTCATATCATGTCGCGCGGCAGAGACGCGTGATATACGCGGGTGAAACCGCGGGGTACAGCTAGTAGTTGTAATAAAAATATTAATTACTTCGCCACCTTCCGCTAACTAAATACAATGATGTGTCTTACCTGGATTGAAGAGCAATTTCTCAATCAATTTCAAATTCTTCAATTCAGGTAAGACACATCAATGTATTTAGTTAGCGGAAGGTTGCGAAGTTATAAATATTTTTATTATAATGGATTTCCGCAAAGTAAAGCCTGATTCTATCAATTATTATAGTTGTAGCATGAATGGATCGGCTCAACCGGAGGAGGGCTATGCTTTTACAGAATACCAGCGTAAAATGACATCTTAACTGCTGTGTTTCGTATGGTGAGTGTTGAGAACCGGAGATCCACCGGACAACATTAATCGAGGATAAATGTATATATCTATAGGTCACAGCATCAATTGCCATCAGGTGAACTATGTGCTCATTTGTTATTCTTATTCTATAAAAAATATAGTATGCAATCACCTAAGAGCAGGAAGCACGTGGTCTAGAAGAAGTGCATCCTCTTCTCTCTCAGCGCGGGCGTCGCTTAACGGTGTAGCCTTCTCGCTCAACACTGAGGTCAGCGCCTCCATCAGCCACTGAGAACTCCACCAGCGTGGAGACACCAACCCACCGAACCACTGAAAACATCCAACAACCAACCATCATCAACCATGAAGACCCTTTTTACTGGAAACGAGACATTCCATTTTTGTCCTCACGGGTGATAACGCATCTGCATTTATTTGTAAGAGATAGATCTAATATGTGATTAAATATGTCTATGGACTACAGCATCCACTTACCATCAGGTGGACTGTGTGCTCGTTTGTCACCCTATCCTATTATTAAAAACATTGTTTATTTTACATTTATTTGTTAAAAGTTCTTTGTGAAATAAACCATTTATTAAAGCATTATTATTATACGTTTCACAGCTGGGTACCGGCCTTTTTTTTACTAGAGGGTATTAGAGCAAGGAAGTGTCCGCCGCGCTTTCCCACTGCGAGTTGTCGAACTTCACATGTCTTGAACTCCCTCACAATTGAATAAAACTATTTATACGGATTTTATCGCGTTTAATTAACTTATTTTTAGCTTAATTTCCGACGTTTCAGGTGCACCCCTGGTCACGGGGGGGGGGGGGGGGGCACTGAGATGTCCAAATATCATAGTTAGCCCGGCTACCTTCAGTTTTTGAATATTAATTTTTAGTCCGTTCTACGCAGAATGAGCTTACAGTATCTTGAAGTCTTGCAGTGGTATGCTTGGGTTTGGATTTGATTTTGTATAATTATAGGATCCCAAGCAGGCATTATGGCAGCACCCATCCATATTCTCTATTGAAATTAGGATCTTTTTAATTTAAATAGCCTCGCGTATCTACTTGGTAGGAATCGGTGTTCTTTTGCGAGGATTTATGGTTTATCAAATCTAATGTAATGGTGGGGACGATCTTCAACATCTTCACAGACTGCAGACTTCCCTGAGTCTCGGTGCTAACGTCAGCTATATGTTCTTTTACGATGCCTTCATTTATTATGGAGCACGTGGTGAATCAGCATGTAAAATTGCATATAATAATTTTATTGTGGCGAAATTTTGACGATGATTGAATTTGAAACCCTGGTTGCTCGCGTAATGTGAAATTAACGGCGATTGGCACATGACCCACAGCTACGACTGCCACGGCTCCCATCAGCCTTACTGGTTATTTATGGAATACTTTGCTCCAAAAGCGTCAAACTCGTAAAACTTTTAAAAGATTTCAATATTAAAAATTCAGCGCAAGTATTTTAGGGTAATTAGGGTGGTTAACTTGGTAATTACTAATGTTAAAAGGATTGTAAATATGGCTTAAAATCATTTACTACATGGCACAAAAGAATCCACTACCCTATCACATCCTAAAGACTACGTAAGAGACGATAAAGGGAAACTAAACAGGAGAAAGTTTTTTGAAGTGAAAACTTCTTTAGCGGCGTTGTACACTTGTAATGGGTAAAAAATGTTAAACTCGCGTCAGGACACGTGATCCTGATCGAAAATGCGTAAGACGAATGGAGAGAGTGACAGCCGGCGCGCCGTAGGGAGGAAGTATCCCCCTTCTTTCTAGGCGGCGCAGGGCGCTTGCGCGAATGTTATGCCTTGAAATGATAATGCAATTCGTGCAAAGTTATTCCCTAACCATTCCAAAATATCAAAAATGCACAACGTTAATATTCAAGTTTTCACTTCTGCCGGCACTCCCGGCGTGCAACCCGTCGTTTTTTTATTGAATAATGGTGACAAACGAGCACACAGTCCACCTGATGGTAAGAGGATGCTGTGGCCCATAGACACCTACATTTATTCTCGATTAAGATATAAAATGCAGATGCATTGTCACGATGAGAGAGTGGTCCTTCCCCAGTCGGGCCGACCCATTCGTGCTACAACTATAATATAGCTGCAGCGTAGCTCTACCACGTATAAATTCAGCAGCATTTTCCCCATAACGCATGCACGCGCGCTCGTGCGTGCGTACGTGCATGCGTACGTGCGTGCCTACGTGTTTTTGTGTGTGTGTGTGTGTGTGTGTGTGTGTGTGTGTGTGTGTGTGTGTGTGTGTGTGTGTGTGTGTATGTGTGCATGCGTGCGTATGTGTGCGCGTGCGTGTGCGTGTGTGTGCGTGTGTGTGCGTGTGTGTGCGTGCGTGCGTGCGAGCGTGCCTACGTGCGTGCGAGCGTGCCTACGTGTTTGTGTGTGTGTGTGTGTGTGTGTGTGTGTGTGTGTGTGTGTGTGTGTGTGTATGTTATTAGTTTTAAGATTTGTATTATTACTAACATCTATGATCCTTGTGGTCGAAATAAACGACTTTTTTAACGAATTACTCGACAACGCCCCTTCTTGTAGCGGAAGTGGTGGCAACGGCGACATAAGGTATTCGTCTGAGTGCATGTTTGCGTGCATGTGTGTGTCTGTGTATGTGTATGTGTGTGTGCGTGTGTGTGTGTGTGCGCGCGTGTGCTGCGTGTGTGTGCGTGTGTGTGCGTGTGTGTGCGTGTGTGTGCGTGTGTGTGCGTGCGTGCGTGCGTGCGTGCGTGACTATCTGTTCCCCGCTACTTCGTCCGCATGAAATTTATTACGGTCGGATTCATTGGGTTTTGGTTTTTTAACGCGGAACTCAATTGTTTTTTGTAAAATAAAAGTAACCTAAGTTACTCCTTATAACTTCAATTATCTGCCAGTGAAAGTCCTGTCAAAATCGGTCGAACCATTTCGGAGATCAGCCGGAACAAACAGACAGATCGACAAAAAATTTCAAAATGATTTATTGTTATAGGTATGCATTTAGTAAAAAGCTGTCATTTTAACATTACAAATACACTTCAATTTTATTTGTTTGTATAGATATTATAAGATAAGGTATAATGTATCCAGCATTTAACAGACATTCCCCTTTAATAGCATTATGAGCATATATCTTACTTGTTGCGCTATCAGTTTGGCGATAATCTTCGTATCGGAGAGAGCAGAAGGATTTAGAATTATCAGGCCCCAACCTTCGGAGTACTGGTTCCCTCCGTCAACGACGACGATGTCTGCAAATAAAATGTTGGAATATCTAAAAGTGCACGCCTCATGAGTGTTTATTATTTTATATAAATTTTGAAATTTTGATGAAAAAATAATTTACTTTTAAACGTCTATGATAAGAAAAAAAATACTTTTTAACGTCTATGATAAGGTAATAGGGATCATCCTGAGAATAAATGGAAACTTATTTAGAAAGATTTATAATTTCATTACGTATATTTTTCTGAAACAATGTGAAGACAATGCACTTGGCACGGACTAACTTGCAGCCGCACTAATAATGTTTTAACTATATTTTTTTGTAAATATAACTAAACAAAGGAATAAAAATACGCAGACTTTATAACTTAATATAATATCTACTTTTCAAAACATCCCGTTTTTACTGATTCGGTGTCTAAATTAAGACATACTAACAATTTTACTCCAACTGCAGAGAGGTGTAAGACAGGGTGACGTTATATCCCCGAAACTCTTCACCGCTGCGTTGGAAGACGTTTTCAAGCTACTGGACTGGAAAGGATACGGTATTAACATCAATGGCGAGTACATCACTCACCTTCGATTTGCCGATGATATAGTCCTTATGGCATAATCGCTGGAGGACCTTAGCACTATGCTCAATGACCTCAATGGTGTCTCCCAACGGATAGGTCTTAAGATGAACATGGACAAAACAAAGATTATGTTCAATGTCCATGTCACACCTATGCCGGTAGTTGTGGGGAGCACCATGCTCGAAGTTGTTGACGAGTACGTTTACCTGGGACAAATAGTCCGACTAGGTAAGTCCAACTTCGACCGAGAGGTCAATCGACGGATTCAACTCGGCTGGGCGGCGTTCAGGAAATTACGACACATCTTCTCGTCAGGTATACCTCAATCTCTGAAAACTAAAGTGTACAACCAGTGTGTGTTGCAAGTGATGACTTACGGATCAGAGACGTGGTCCTTCACTGCTGGCCGTATGAGGACGCTCAAGGTCGCTCAGCGAGCTATGGAGAGGGCTATGCTCGGAGTTTCTCTGCGTGATAGACTCAGAAATGAGGATATCCGCAGTAAAACCAGAGTGACCGACGTAGCCCAACGAATTAGTAAGCTGAAGTGGCAATGGGCCGGCCATATAGCTCGAAGAACCGATAACCGATGGGGAAGAAAGGTTCTCGAGTGGCAGCCTCGTACCGGTAGGCGTAGTGTAGGGCGACCCCCCACTAGATGGAGTGACGACCCGGTAAGACATGCAGGAAGTCGATGGATGCAGGTGGCTCAGGACCGTGCTTTGTGGCATTACTTGGGGGAGGCCTATGTTCAGCAGTGGACTTGTGAAGGGCTGTAAAGATGAAGAAGATGAAGATGAACAATTTTACATTGCAAAATCAACACGCAGCGGCATTCCGACACTAGCCGTTTTGAGACGTGCGATAGTTTATTAGGCAGATCAAATGTCATATTTAAACTTTAAAAAGGCCTGTATAAATTTAACGCTTACAAGCTTTTTCAGCAATAAAAGAGCTCTGGGGCACTGTTAGGTTCTGTTCTAAAAGGTATGGAGAGCCAGCTTAACTTTGGGCATAGAATGAAGATAATTGCAGGTTTTAAGGCATTCCATCTTAGTACTCAGAAGCAATGACCTCTATATATACAAGTACACTGGACTGGCTATACAATACAAAATGCCTATGTCAATTTGAAGTGCTACTATAGGTCGTCTTGGGAACTAAAATTGACATAATATGCCAATCTGTTGTCTTGTTTAAATTGTCTTATTTAAAAAATCTGTATTTTGAACTTTTAAACTAAAAACGATAGGATGTTGTTTGGTTGTCTATAATTTTCGTTACATAATAAGAATTATTTTTAATAAAATGAGAGTTGGCGTAATCTGTAAAACTAGTTACCAAAAGGAAAGCGGTATAACATTCGCAAGTAAGTGAATTTGCAGCTAATATTAATCAAATTAAAACTATTTGATAATATATGTACTTAAAAATTTGTTACTAATCTTAATATCATAATTACCAACATGTTTGGCTGATTTTTGATAAACAATAAAATTAAATAGGGTTGTCGAGTTACTTGTCTATAATACTTATCGATGTTATTTCTGACATATATCTCATAACAAACAAAGACGCCAACAACAAATAATTATCAAATGTTTATTAATAAACAGGTTTCTAACTGAACCTAGACCAAAATTATGGCGTAATAGCATAAATATTGTGAATTCCGAAACAAAATGATCATCTTTGTTCTAAACATTTCACAGACGACTGTTTTATTAGACATGAGAACCGCACTACTTTGAAAAAGTGCAGTATACCGATAATATTTTTTGGTAGCACCAGTACCAGTAAGTATAAAAATATTAGAATATTATTCCGAATGTTTTTTTCTTTCTTCTCTTCTCATTTTCCCCCAAACTCAAGGGCCATGGCCAAGTGTAGAAAGGTCACTTGATGTCGAGCCACATTGGATGTGTGTTAGTGGGCTGCGGCTAGAGAAGATTCCTCTCCCTGTATCGAGATGGAGTCTTAAGGGAAGAGGAGACTCGACTATCCTCCTCGCTTTTCGTGAGGCTGCACTACTTTATGAGGTTTTTTATCATGTTAATTACTGGATTAGTAAGCTGAAGTGGTCTTTCGGGCTATATGGCCGGCAAAAGGCCCGAAAAACTGATAATCGATGGGGATAAAGAAATGTTTTCGAGTGGCAGCCTCGTACCGGCAGGTGAAGTGTAGGACGTCCCCCCACTAGATGGAGTGACGACCTGATAAGACATGCAGGAAATTGATCGATGCAGGTGACTCAGGACCGTGCTCTGTTGCATTCCTTGTGGTAGGCCTATGTTCAGCAGTGGACTTGTAAAGGGCTTTAATGATGATGAATGATAATGGCATTATATTAATATGATACATAAATAGAAAGGACGTTACTGGTAGGGGCCATATATCTATAGAGTCCATTCTATTGATTTAGGTATAAGTCGATATATTTTGTCACATTGTCTTATCCTTATTATTAGTTAAGTGGACGTTCACTTCTCCTGTCAGTGCCAAAATGGCGCAAATCAAATCGCCTCATCATCTCACGGTATTTTTTTTTTTTATAGAAGAAGGGGCAAACGAGCATGCGGCAGCATGTTAAGTGACTACCGCCGCCCATGATCAACCGCAACACCAGGAGAATTGCGGGTGCGTTGCCGGCCCTTTAGAAAGGAGTAAGCTCTTTTCTTGAAGGTCCCCAGGTCGTATCGGTCCGTAAAAATCGCCGGTGGTAAACTATTCCACAGAGAGGTTGTACGTGGAAGAAAACTCCTTGTGAAACGTACAGTGGTGGACCGCCAAGCATCCAGATGGTGTGGATGGTATCGGGACGTTTGACGTGTAGTGCGTTCACGAAATTTGGCGGCTGGGATTAATCTGAACAATTCCTCAGAGCACTCCCCGTGATAGATGCGATAAAATACGCAAAGAGATGCAACATCTCTTCGCAGCGCCAGTGAATCGAGCCGATCGGAAAGCACTCGGTCGTCGACGATTCGAGCCGCTCTGCGCTGGATGCGGTCAAGTGGAAGAAGCTGGTACTGGGGAGCCCCAGCCCAGAGATGGGAACAGTATTCCATGTGCGGCCGAACCTGCGCCTTATAAAGTTGCAGGCGGTGTGCCGGCATGAAATACTGTCCCGCTCTGCTGAGCACGCCAAGCTTTTTAGAGGCCAATTTGGCCTTCCCTTCCAAGTGACCACGAAACTGCACGTCACTCGATATGTCGACGCCGAGGATTCCGATACTGGCTGAGGCAACAAGGGGAGTGCCTTGAAACTGAGGGGATACGACAAAGGGGTTCTTTTTAGCGGTTAACGCGCAAACTTGTGTCTTCTGGGGGTTAAACTGGACTAGATTTAGTCGCCCCCAATCCGAGACTCTGTCCAGCAGAGACTCGACTTCAGCCACAAGTTTGTCCCGGCACTCGGAGACGTTTTCCCGAGAAATGTTGGCTCGGCCGGTGTAAAGAGCATCACCAGTGCTGTCATCTGCATAGCAATGAATGTTACGGGTATGCAACATGTCATTGATATGCAGAAGAAACAGCGTTGGCGATAGCACGCAGCCCTGTGGAACACCAGCATTAATAGGCTTGCAATCGGAGCTTGCACCGTCTACATCGACCTTGATGCTCCGATCTGCAAGAAAGCTGGTGATCCAATCGCACAATTTCTCGGGAAGCCCATAGGAAGGGAGCTTCGAAAGAAGCGCTTTGTGCCAAACCCGATCGAAGGCCTTCGCAATGTCCAAACTAACGGCCAATGCCTCCCCCTTGAACTCTACTGCCTCCGCCCATCTGTGAGTTAGGTAGACCAGAAGATCACCAGCTGACCTACCACGGCGAAAACCGTATTGGCGGTCACTAATCAGCTGGTGATCTTCAAGGTACCTCATGAGCTGGCAGTTTACAATGGACTCCATTGTTTTGGAGAACAAGGAGGTGATGGCGATTGGCCGGTAGTTGGACGGGTCAGAGCGGTCGCCTTTTTTAGGGATCGGGTGGACGTAAGCCGTCTTCCATGATTTTGGGACTACGCCTAGGGAGTAGGAGTACCGGAAAAAGACGCGTTAAAACCGGTGCCAACTCTGGAGCACACGACCTCAGCACAATTGGGGGGGATTCCGTCAGGCCCACTCGACTTGTGGATGTCCAGGGAGAGGAGTGCTTTGCGAACCGAGCGCTGTGTGAAGTGCACTTCCGGCATGGAGCACTCACACCGCGGGATGGTCGGCGGAGTACTCCCCCCGTCATCGAGAGTCGAGTTAGACGCAAAGAAAGAGCCTAGAAGATCGGCTTTCTCCTTTGCGGTATGGGCCAGTGAGTCGTCCTCCCTGTGCAGAGATGGAAGAGATGGCTGACAGAAATTCTCCTGGACAGCCTTGGCGAGAGACCAGAATGCACGGGTTCCAGAAGGAAGGCGAACTAGTTTCTCGCCAATTCTGCCTATGTGCTCTGACTTTGCCTTGGCAATGACTCTTTTGAAGGACCTAGAGGCGGAATTATACTTCTTTTTTAGAGCGCTGGTGTTTACATCCCGGGACGCTGATGCATCAGCCCAGGCTTGTTAACACTCCTACTTATAGCATGATGCTATTTTACAGGAGCGACTAAACCATGGCTGAGACTTGCCTCCAATGGGCACCACAGAGGAAGGAATAAAAAGTTCCATACCCTGAAGTACCACATCAGCGACAGAATCCGCGACAACGTTGGGATCATCCGGCGAGAAGCAAACCCGCCCCCAAGGGTAGGATGCAAAGAAAGACCGCATCCCATCCCAATCGGCTGACCTATAGTGCCAAACACGGCGGCAGCCTGCAGAATGCAACCGAGATTTCAGCGTGAGTGGCACCACACTCCGGACAAGACAATGGTCCGAGGAGCCTAAAGGGGCGTCGACGGATATCTGATATCCGTCCGGGTGAGAGGTCAGCAGAAGGTCCAACAGGGAAGGTGCATGATCCTCCACATCTGGAATCCGCGTAGGCGAAGTAACCAATTGTGTCAGACCATATGCCAAGGCAAAATCATGAACAGATCTCCCCGCATGATCGGTTAAACGTGAACCAAGCCAATCGGCGTGATGGGCGTTAAAGTCGCCGAGGATCACGATCTCTGCGGAGGGGATCTGCTGTAGCAACGAATCTGCAGCCATTTGGACGTGGTCGAATAGTCGGTCTGTTTCGGCATTACCGCTATGGGACCTATAGAGGCACCCGTAGACGCGCGGATGGTCGTCGCTGTCTACGCGTAGCCAAAGGATGGACAGGTCCGAACCTTCAAGTCTGCCGAGGCGTCGAGAGCAGATGACGTAAACGCAAACTCCAGCCCGAGGCACAAAGGAGTGTTCCAGTTTGTACCCCGGGTAGGAGAGATACGAGACATCAGCCGGAGAGGACACCTGCGTCTCGGTCAGAAAGAGCAGAGCCGGCCTCGCCGTCTCGAGATGGTAGTGGACGGCGTTTAGGTTAGAGTGAAGTCCCCTGATATTGCAGAAATTCACGGACAGCGTGGCAGGGGTCGCCTTGGTCTTGTTACTCCGTTTGCCCCGAGCAGTTGTAGTCTTGAGCGGAATTTTGCCCCCCCAGAATACGCGGGGCAGCCTGAGCACCCACGTTCAGAAGTGGAGAAACATGGTCGTGGATGCTCAGCGAGGGATTCTCCAGAGGTGCCGGTACCCTCCTGGGGTAGTCGATCATTATTTAATTCCGCTACCATGTTGATGGGGGGGGGGGGGATTTGAGCCTCCGGCCACCTGCACTCACCAGACGAAACGCGGAAGCAGAGCTTCCACTTCACGCCGGTATTCTGTGAGGTCGTGGTACCACCCCGGTTTGATCCGGCCCGTACGTGCAACAGCAAAGCTGCCGCGTGGCTCTACCACTGTTAAAATAGTGTATAGCCAGTCCAGCGTACTTGTATATATATATATATATATATATATATATATATATATATAGAGGTCAGTGACTCGGAAGTCACAACGCATAAGTAACCTTTTGAAGTATGGTTGCATGTGACCATGGGCTGCAGAAGATATATACCATCTAGTGGGTTATAAATTTGTTTGTCACTTCAATTTTATTCAAAACAAATCGGTCGACATTTCACCATAGTATCTGTCAGTTTTTCTCCAATAAAACCACGACAACTCACTTAGTTAACTGTTTAACCACTATGTTCGTTGTTTAATTTCACTCTTAAATTGTATATAATACTTTATAACACACTATACTTTACTTTCACAAAGAAGACTATTAATTTAACTTTACTCACAACCTTTAGAATTACCTTATTTTACAATAGACTTGACTATTATAACCTCCACAGCACCACTGTTCGTAATCAATTGCCGCGAGCGTCAAGTGTACGCGCTTTTACATTGAGACTCAATTCTAGAATTAATATAGGTAGTTTGAAATAGATTCATATTAATATTAATTGTGAAGATTGCTAAGTAATATTGCATAATGATCAATTATCTAACATATCCTTTTATGGTACTCACACGAAGTAATGGAGCAACAAACTTAGAATAATTTTTGTAATTATTCAAGTGTAAGGAATTCTTTAGCCGCTGCTATATGACATAAGCATTCTCACAACTTTTCTGATCCTCGAAAATAGAAAATATAAACAAAAAAAAATACGTGTGGCACTCGGTGACTGCCGCGGTAAAGCTATTGCATAGCATTTTTTATCAACTTATGTAATTATAATTATTTATTTATTTTATTTATGCAGTTAAGTCTTTGATATTAAATCAAGTTACACTTTTTGAGCGTGGTGACCGATAAGAAAACAATTTTTTTTCTCTTATTGAATAAATGAGAAGTTAATATTGTTTAAAATATTTTTAATATCTTACAATACATGTAGGTTATTCAGGAATTTTTATCATTGAGTTAGCAGCTAGTGTACACGCATACGTCTAGTCGCACGCACACAAACACCGTGCCGAAGTCTGCCGAGTGCCGAAGTCTACCGAACTGAAACGACATTAGACGATGCACGGCTTTCAACGCCACACCTCCGTGCCCGTCGGAGTGGGGAGCGTGAGGTTTTTTTTCGTTACGGAATTTCTGGATTCGGTCCCCGCGCTCAAGGCCCGCGATGGAAGCTATGCAATAGCTTAATATAACGCTCCCCACTACCTGATATTTATTAAATAAGATTAATATTTTTTTATATAGAGATAAGCGTGACAAACGAGTACACAATCCATCTGATGATAACTGGATGCTGTGGCCTATAGAAATCTATATTTATCCTAGACTAAGAATCAAACCAGAAATGGGCTGCGGTAGTCAGTAGTCACTAAACATCAGGTGAACCGTATGCTCGATTGCCTCCTCTTCAATAAAAAAAAACCGCAGATGCGTTATCACCCCTGAGGATTAAGATGGAATACCTCGTTTCCAGTTAAAAAGGGTTCTCCGGTTCTCTTCATCCGCCATACGAAACATTGCAACATTAAGCTGTTATTTTACGCTGGTATGTGGCTGTGTTTACATGGCTGTGAGAGCGTGGTACTACCTCGGTCAGGCCGACCCATTCGTGCTACAACCATAATATAGCTGCAGTGTGGCTTGATACATTAAACTATTGTAACTCACCGAATTTAGGTAGAGGATAAGACGTGTTTAATTCATATGCAAACAGTTGAATAGTCCTCTGCACCCATTCCAGTAGCGGTCTGCGAAAAAAATGCCTAAGTTGAAAGATTCACTTTTACATTAGGATAATGTCGCAGTTATAGTAGTATATTATATTAGAATAATTCATTTAAAGTATATTTAAATATTTTATTAACCATTCCATTTTTTAGTAATTATTATGAAAAAAAAAACTACTAGTGATTGGTTATTATATCCGTTGAGGCTGTGAACCAAAGGCAATTATTCTATACTTTTGTATGTTCTATATTCGGATTACCATGTGTCATAAAAAACATAATATATAACACATTAGATAACCTGTATTATGCAATGACAATTTTTTTTTAATTTTAACAACGTAAACATGAGTCTTTTATCTTTTCACCATACGGTGGCGTTACTTAAGCGATATAATGACGTCACTAGCGTTTGAATTCGCATTTTATAAAAGCCATTTTTATTTGTAAAATTACATGAAGAATTGTTTTTTTTTTAATTTTTTTTATAGTTTTTAGTATTCTTTTAAAAATAAATTAAATTTAAAAACATGCAACTTCTCTATTCAAAGGTAATGAATAAATCAATTAAATGACCAAATTAGGGTTAGTTAATCAAATATCGAAAAATGACGACTGTTGGCGACGCATTGTTTCATATGTAATATTAATATTATTTTGTATCTTAGGTTAAGGTTTCTATTTGTACAGTAAGTAGTATAATATTAACAGTAATTTTATAAATCATATGTTTAGGTAGACTTTGAGTTTGATATATGATTTTAAGGTAGATGCAAGTGAGCGACCCCTCAAGAACTAAGAACAAACACAAAGTTTGTATACCAGTTACTAAACTCCACAGACTCAGTAATTCATTTAATGGGACAATTTATAACAAAACTGTCAGAAATGTTTAATATTTTTGTCAATCAATAGAGTTAAAAACTTCATAAAATAAAAACTTATTTATTATTTACATTATTATATCGTTGTAGTTATATAGGGTTATTGGTACGCCTGTGAATGTGATGATGCTACCATTCTGGTTTTATTATAATTTTTATAACATTTAATGTATATAATATTGCTGTAAAATTATAAATTTAAAAATTTCCCGCGCGTTTTCTTACTGGTTGTCCCTAGGGCATAGTTATTTCCCGATCCAGTGGTAAATAAAATAAATGACTATCAATAGGTATTATTAATCTTTATTTGAGCCGTAGTAGATTAGAGGCTAAGCGCTTACTGTAAATTTCACAGTATACGAGCAACTCGGGTTCGATCCCCGCTGACACCATAAAAATGATTGTTAGTTGTAATTTTAAGTGCTAATTTACCACGTGCCCGGCATTGAAGGAAAACATCATGAGGAAACCTGCATGTCTAAGAAATAAGAAAAAAGAACCTATATTTCCAAGACGTGAAGTTGGCCAACACGCATTGGGGGAGCGCGGCGGACAATTCCTTGTGGGATGTACATAGTCTGTAAGCATAACTTTTTAATCTATATTTAGTTGAGCTGATTCAAAATAATGTGATCTATATACGATTGTTTGAGGTGTGAGAGCCGTGGTAGCTCAGATGGTTAACGCTCGCTGTAAATATAACAGCACGCGAGTAACCCGGGTTCGATACCCGCCGGCACAAATAAAATTATTAATTGTAATTTTAAGTGCTGATTTACCATGTCCTCGGTGGTGAAGGAAAACATCGTGAGGGAACCTGCATGTCTGAGGAATAAGAAAAGAATATATTTCGAAGACATGTAAAGTTCGCCAACATGCATTGAGGGGAGGCCTGTGTCCAGCAGTGGGATGTATATAGGCTGTAACTTTGCGGTGTAAAGAATATATCTTTTAAATCTTACCCAGACTCATCTAAAATTGACTGCTGATCACTGTACAAGCTGATTTCAGGCGGCGCATTAACATCCTCTTCGGGTGTTTCCGTATTCACTTCCGGTGCGTTCGTCAGGTCAGTTATGTTATTCGCTTCTGTGGGAAGCACCGGTGCAGCGCGCCGTTGTAAACGACAAACTGCTAGCGACATCATATGTGTAGACATTGGTGGAGATTGAGCGAACTCGTCTTGTAGCTATGATAAAAATAAATGATCGTCACCGTTAATGACTATCAATAGTTCACTTCTGATTGGTGGTTTGATCTGATCCACTGGTCTCCCTTATTAATTCTCTCATACGGGTCTAATTACAATGGTTGTATTATTAGCAGGCAGGTTGTTGACTTAGCACGGAGGTTGTTGACCACAACTTTTAATTTTTTAGTTGTTATTAGGAAAACGCTACCCATCCCCTGTTTTGTTTCCCTTTGACTTTTCAAACGACACTTAAATTCGTACACCGCCACTACACGGTCGATAAAAATAATTTATCGATTTTAGAGAAACACTGACTTAGGATTTTTATATGTTTTCTCTTCTTTATCATGATCATACAGCCGTAAGTCTACTGCTGAAAAAAAGCGTACCCCACAGCGTCCTGAACCACCTGCATACATTGATTTCTTTTATCGTTATGAGATAAAACAAAATATTTTCTTTTTTTATTATTATTATATATTGCTTTTTGGTCTTAAAAATGGACTTTGTACATTTCACGTATCCAATCATCGTCACCAATATCATTAAAATTGTTTTAAATTTAAGTGTTGATTTAAGTGCTCGGGATGAAGGAAAATATCGTGAGAAAATCGGTATGGCAACCCCTTTTTTTGATTAGGGGGTAATTATAATATATTATATTGAATATTAAAACCCGTGTATTAAATGCCGTACCGTATAGTGATTGTATAATAATTATAGTCAACCAAATCTAAGAAATACATTTTGACAACTGTCAGAGTTACTGCACCAAGCATTAGAGGTGGGCGATGCAAACCGTATACTGATACGAAATCTATATATTGGTACAATATCTCAAACCGCTTACTGGTTCGTTCCAAAACTATGTATTACAAAATATGATATTTGCGTACTGCCGCGATGCCTATATCGCTTCGCATCGGTCGGTCGCTAGATTCATTCCATAACTATATATTATACAAAATCTGATATACCGCCGCAATACCTATATCGCTTCGCATCGGTCGGTCGCTAGATTCGTTCCATAACTATATATTATACAAAATCTGACATACCGCCGCAGTACCTATATCGCTCCGCATCGGTCGGTGGCTAGATTCGCCGTGTATGAGAATATATAGATATTGAAATATATAGTTTTGATATCAGATATTGAAACCCGAAATCTGATATAGATACGATTCTCAGAAAACGCGATACGACCCAGGCCTACTAAGCATGCCAACCAAAAAATGGGAGTGTATAATATTCGATTCTTAAAAAAATCGATATCGATTATTAAGAGTTTGTAATAATTTACAGTTTGGTTTGAATAATACCAGAATAAATTTAAAACACTAGATTTATCAGTTTCTTCGTATTTGTTGTTACTGCTTATTTACTAGAGACAAAGTTATAAAAATTTAAGATTGAAACTAGATTAAAAAATAAATTTTATCAATCACTTTCAGTACAACTAGTTGATCTGTCGTTGTTTAGATTAATTATTATTTGATTCTCAATAATGTCATCAAGTTAATGTCTATTTCAAATTGATCTTCTTTAATCAATTTTTTTTGTTTTTTCTACCACTTTTATCCAATCATCCTTTGTGACATGGGCACATGCTTCAACGAATATAGAAGAAACAGTCCAAAAAATTAAAGCCGAGTTACAAATTGAAAGACAAGCACAAAATCACTAAAAAAAGCACAGTAAGCTAACAAAATAGCGGGATATTGAAATTACGTAGTGGTTTTTGCGGCGAGGTCTTGTATATGACCTTTTTTGTCTACACAAATTTACGTTTACAAAGTGAAAAAGAATAAACTTGTTTTATTCATGAGTCATGTAATTAAGGAATTTTAAAAATAAAATTTTTATTAAACAAATAATACATTAAAAAAAAATAATGATTTGATTATTTGAATATTTTTACCGATTATTTAAATATTTTTGCCGATTATTCGCATAACAACGAATTTTAATCATCCAAACACTACGGTATGGTACATATCAACATATCATTGAAACGACGTCAAGTAAAAAAAGATGATACTTGACATTTTTTTAATAAAGCTTCGAATTTAAATTAGTGATAAAAAAAAAACTGTACACGTTGTAATGAAATATAGATACCTTCATAATACTATGGATTTACGTAAAAGGTTATTTTAAATCGTGTGAGTACGCTTCTGCAAAGTTATTGCGGAATGATTAATGTGAAACGTCATAAGGTATTTCTTAGATTTGGTTGACTATAATAATATCTACTACATCATATTATCCCATGGGTGTCGTTACAGGTGACACAGGATAAACAAATCAGAAGCTGGCCAGCAACGTTTCTCTAATAACGGATAAAAAAAACTGAGGTTGCCAACGTGCTTGTCAAGCATGGGAACCATGGTAAATATCCACTCTATGACGCAATCTATGGGAGAGGGCTATATTTAGCAGTGAACTTTAGTAGACTGTAACTATAACGAAATATTAAAATATTTTCAAATCAGCCTGAAGTGCATTGTGGCTGCGCGGCGGACTCTTCTATGTATCAAATTATAACATAACATAACATAAACACCCAGAGGGGTAGTCAGAGACTACAGACTTCCATTTGGCACGATCCTGACACACCTCTCTCGCCTCCTTCACATCCATACACCTACGCATACATGCTCGTCGGTTAAGGGTACTCCTAATTTAGCCCGTTTTCAATAAATCGCCAATTTGGTCGATACATTTTCGCCTAGGACGTCCCTTTCCGACTCTGCCATTCACTTCTGTAACATAAATTTTCTTTGTCACTCTTTCCTCATTCATTCTTTCCAGATGACCAAACCACTGAAGCATTCCTTTCTTAATCCTGGTCACAACATCATCTTGAAAACCACACTCTTCTCTTATTACACAATTTGTTACCCTGTCATTCAGATTCAGCCCCAACATACTCCTTAACGACCGCATTTCTACTGCGTTCATTCTACTCTCGTGCTTCTTCTGCCACACCCAACTTTCACTACCATACGTTAAAGTAGGGACCAACACAGCATTGTGAATTGCAATACGTGCCTTTTTCGACACATTTTGACTCTTCACAATAGAGTGTAGGGCCCCAAAAATATATAAATCAAATATATAAAATAAAATAAATAAAATTTATCAAATATATTATAAAATACGTGTGGCACTCGGTGACTGCCGCGGTAAAGCTATTGCATAGCATTTTTTATCAACTTATGCAATTATAATTATTTATTTATTTTATTTATGCAGTTAAGTCTTTGATATTAAATCAAGTTACACTTTTTGAGCGTGGTGACCGATAAGAAAACATTTTTTTTCTCTTATTGAATAAATGAGAAGTTAATATTGTTTAAAATACGTTTAATATCTTACAATACATGTAGGTTATTCAGGAATTTTTATCATTGAGTTAGCAGCTAGTGTACACGCATACGTCTAGTCGCACGCACACAAACACCGTGCCGAAGTCTGCCGAGTGCCGAAGTCTGTCGAACTGAAACGACGTTAGACGATGCACGGCTTTCAACGTCACACACTCCGTGCCCGTCGGAGTGGGGAGCGTGAGGTTTTTTTTCGTTACGGAATTTCTGGATTCGGTCCCCGCGCTCAAGGCCCCCGATAGAAGCTATGCAATAGCTAAAATAAATAAATTTTATATATAATATCATCAAATTATACAATTCTCATTACACAATGGAAGAGGTCTGTGTTCAGCTGTAGGACGTATGTAGGCTGTGAGTTTACTATGTATATTTTACAATTATTGTAAACGAACACTAATAATATGCTATATAACCTTCTTACCAATCTATGACCCAAATAGAAACCAGCTTCTTCGGTTGCCACTATGGGCATATTCGTCAAAGATACGTGAAACCTGAAACGATTATTTTTATTCAAGTTAGTGTAATTAACGAGCACTCAGTCCACCTGGTGGTAAGTGGATCTTGTCATCTTGTGATCAGTAGACACCTGTATCTAGTCACTATTAAAAATCAAATCGCAAATGTGTTCTAGCCCATAAGGACTACTATCGAATCACACAGAATATGGAAAACAGCAACATTTTTTCCCAAGTCAAGACATCCCATTAGTGCTGCAGCAATATAGTACGTGCGGGTAATATGGTCATTCAGTTAATATGGTCACTTTCTTATTACTCAAATTCTACAGCCTTTTTTGCATGGATGGCTCTGTGATACGATAGCTCAAGGGTCAAAAGAATGCTTCTTTATCGACGCCATTTTGACAGTGACATTATAGGTCAATATTTTAGTCGATTTTAGTGTGGTGTAGTGTGGTTAGTTTTTAAGTTTATTTTTCGTAGTGTTCATAATTATTGCCAAAGCATGTTTTTTTTTCTTTACATATTAGTTATAGCATATACGACTTTGTATTTATGTCTCTGTCATCCTAATAGTTTTGGTTTTATAAGGCGGCAAAGATTAAGGTGGCCATATGACCATCACGCACCCTACAGTTACAACTTGGCTCTTTATTAGCCCGTATAAGGCCGCTGTTGGGCAAGAGCCTCGCACTCGATTTGTCTTAATCGCCACGTTTGGTAGGTGGATTGGCGTTCGCAGTTCCAACATGAGCAATTTTATCACTGCTGCCTATCGTCGGTGCCTATTATTCGTTTGGCATAAACTATCTGATTGTACCGCAATCTGTCGAAAGCCATAAGATCTTTTATGAATTTTCAAGTGTCGCCTCATACTGCACCTAGAGGTAGACTTTGCTCGATTAATTGTTCAACGCCACCACTATGATAGCAAATCTCTACCTGTTCTATAATATATTAAGAAAATAAAAATTGCAGTTATTTTAAACAGGAATATATTTAAAAAATTATGCAGTTGATTACCTGTCTCTGACGATTGTAAGTTTGAAAGTAGCTCGTAAATGTGGTTCATCCAAACATGGGAATGTGGCACGAGCATGCGTTAACCAGAAACGGGACACTGCACATCGCCTGAAAAAAGACCCAACCAGTCAAACTAATGACAACTTAATGACAAATATTTATTGCAACAATCTCAATATCTATATATATATAGTAATGTGACCCTTGTTCCTGTAAAAGGTTGACCTCAGTAACAGAAGCCAGTTCCTTTCTATATTTGATAAGCTTTTGTTGAATAAAAATAAACTATTTGTTGTTTTTTTTTATTCTTCAGAAAAGACGTTGTTCAGAATTAAGAGTATTTTAAATTTAAAAATGTTTGAAATGAAATAAAATGAAATGAATGATTTTATTCAACTTAGATTATTATATAATATTTATTGAAAGTCATTTTTTAATTTATAACTGGTTCGCAAAAAACCTCTGTACTGGGAAGAACCAGCAAGAAACCCAGCGGGATGTTTTTAAACATTTTTAATTTACAATAAATTTATTTTGTTAAAATTTTTGAATGTATTTTTATAGAACCAGCAAGTTGGCGATCACCTCATTCCAAGGGGTTACTTTCATTTATGTACCTATTCGTTTATATTATAATAACTCTTTTTGTACAATTTTTCTTAATAATGACAAATTTTGTACATATTCTGGGATTTTGTTGTAAAAGCGTTATACATTGCCCTATAAATGAATTACTAATTCTGTGGAGTCTTGTAACTGGTATATGTTTGTTCCTAGTGTTTAAAGTACGAACATCTTTATTCTTATGAAAGTTATTTATGTTTTTATGTACATACACTACATTTTCATAAATATATTGTGATACCGAAGTAGTAGTAATATGTTTATTTCCTCAAATTTTTCTCTAAGCGACTCTTTTTACAATTTAAGTTGTAAATCGCCCGTACGGCTCTCTTTTGCAAAACAAATATGACTTCAATGTCAGTCGCATTACCCCATAGTAAGATTCCATAAGACATTACGCTATGAAAGTAACTAAAATAAACTAATCTAGCTGTCTCAACATTGGTTAGACTTCTAATCTTTCTTACAGCATATGCTGCAGAAGTAAGTCTGCCTACTAATTTAGATATATTTTTATTTTATATAATATATTTAAATGTAACACCTTAATGTTAAGGGTACATAGTATGTTTATGTACGACAAATTTGTCCGACTATGCAAGTCCAACTTTGATCAAGAGGTCAATTAATGGATCCAGCTTAACTGGGCAGCGTTTATGAGATTTCGACACATCTTCTCGTCACGTATTCCTCAAAATTTTAAAACAAGCGTGCTACCAGTGTATATTGCAAATTATAACACGTTGATATAAGATGTGATTGTTCACTGCGAGTCGTGTGAGAAAGATTAAGGTCGCTTAACCACGGAGAAGTCTATTTTGGGTATTTTTTGTGTTTTTTATAGTATTTGATGACAAACGAGCGCAAAGTCCACCTGCTGTTAAGTGGATGCTGTATCCCATAGACATTCACATTTATTCTCAAATAAGGATCAAAATTCAAATGCGTTGTCACTCCTGAGGACTAAGGTGGAATGCCTCGATTCCATTAAAAAGGGTCTCCGGTTCTCTACACTCACCATACGAAACACAGCAGCATTACGCTGATATTTTACGCTGGTATTCTGTGAAAGCGTGGTCCTGCTCCGGTCGAGCTGACCCATTCGTTCTACAACTATAATAAAGCTCCAGCATGGCTCTACCACGTAAAATTGTAAATTGTGTGATAGCATCTGTAATGAAGATATCTAGAGAAGAACCGAAGTAATGGTTACTATAAAGTCAGTTGTCTTAAAAAGTAGACGTAACACGGAGGAGAGATTTTACCGTGCATTCTTCTTTTGTTGGCCATCTTGATTATAAATAATTTTACTTGCCTTCTATGTGTCCCGGTCAAGAAAAATCCTCTCTGCTTTTCATTTCTTTCGAGCTTTGTGATGAAACGAAGGCTCAGGGTGTAATTGAATTTACGACGGAGTTTTTCCTTAAAACAAAAAAAGTCAATACCTCCATATGTGTAAAAATCAATTTCCGTGTGTTAGTCTCGCTGAACCTCAAAAACGGCTCGACCGATTTTCATGAAACTTTTTGTGTGTTTTTGAATAAGTCCCTGGATGGTTTGGTAAAAGGTCATTCAGTATATAAAGTTAAAGTAAAGTTACAGCCTTACGACGTCTAACTAACTAGTCTAACTGCTGGGCACAGGCCTCCCCTCATTTCTGAGAGGTTTTTAGAGCAAGGAAGTGTCCGCCATGCTGCCCCAATGCGTGTTGGCGAACTTCACATGCCTTCAAAATATTTTTTTTCTTATTGCTCAGACATGCAGGTTTCCTCACGATGTTTTCCTTCACCGCCGAGAACGTAGTAAACCAGCACTTAAAATTGCAATTAACAATTTCATTGGTGCCGGCGGGGATCGAACCCGGGTTACTCGCGTTCTGTTATATTTACAGCAGGTGTTAACCATCTGAGCTACTACAGCTCATCCAGTATATGTATAGCAATAATAATAATAATAATAATCAGAAACCATTCAGCATATCACTGGTGCCTGCAGCTCAATAACACAGACCGACTATAAACATAGACACGACCAAGTAGCTGCCATCATTCATCAGTATCTAGCATATAAATACAAACTTATAGATGAAAAAATAGCATATTATATACACAAACCAGAAATCATACTTGACTCTCGCGAATTCAAACTCTACTGGGACAGAACTATATTAACTGATAAGACCGTGCATTATAATCGACCGGATATTACGCTACATGACAAAAGAAACGAATCAGTTTATCTTATAGATATTGCTATACCAAACACTCACAATTTGACCTCTACCTACAATGATAAAACTAGCCATCGGCACAGGGCAGGATTATAGTGCCCGAGTGTATGCGCAAGCACAGGTGCACTCTATATATCGGATTATGAGAGTGGGGGGGAATACCCCACTCTCATAATCCGATGGGACGGTAAACCGACACGACCGGAGAGAGATTAGGCGCAGAATCAACGGCTTTACGTGCTTTCAGACGCACGGGGGTGTGACACCGCCAACTTCCTGAATCCGAGCATATACTGAGAATTTCTTGACAGAAAAACTCAATAATTAATTTTTTGGCCCGACCCGGGATTCTAACCCAGGACCTCATGATCAGCAGTCGCACTACTACAACCACTAGACCAACGAGGCAGTCGATAATATGTATAGCAATAATATGTGTAGTAACTCTGTACCTCTGTAACTCTGATGCAGAGTCAGGGATAAGAGAGCTGCGCTATGAATCCTCAATAATTGACTATCAACATTGTAATCTAAATGTTTCATTATTTAAGACTAGCGATCTGCCTCAGCTTCATATGCGTAATTTCTGGATCTCGACCACTGCGCCATCTACCTGGTCCAATTGTGAATCTATCAAACGAAAAAGTTTAATCAAAATCGGTCGAGCCATTTTTGAGTTTTTGCGGACAGCATATTATATAGAGTCCACTCCATTCGTTTTCCACATTGCATGCCGTGGAAACCTTTAATTAAGACGACACTTATACTTAATATTAAACTTATACTTGATATTAAACTTCCTGTAATTTGTAGTATTTACATTGTGTTCGTGTAGGTCTTGTTGATTCTCCTAAATAAATAAAAAATAAATAAATAAAAATATATAGATTTTCAACATTGGTAACATTACATACAAGCTGACAGTCCACCAAGTGGCTACAACAGACTATAGACACCTGCAATGGAATCAAAACAAATGGTAAAAAAAATTGTACAACCGACTACAATATAAATAAAATGAGAACATCATCAATGTAGTCGAAGTCAATTAAATACGCATTATTAAGGATAACTCAAAAACTACTGGTCAGATCTTAATCCAATTTATATAGGACCACATGCACCATTATATGCGACCACATGAGAAGCACCAGATTTCACATAAAAAAAGAATCATCAAAATCGGTTCACATAAAAAAGTTCTGAGGTAACACACATAAATAAATACATCCGAAGTCGAAAAGTCGAGTTATCTTGTGTGTGAAAATTAAAATAATATTATCGCAAACGACCACATAAAATATAGTCGAATTGAGAAAGTCCTAAAGCTCCCGAAACAGTTTAGCTTTTCCAAGTTATTTAAAAAATCAGACCCTAAACATCGTGCATCACGATGATGATGATGATGAAACATCGTGTGAGTTAAATATATCAATTCATACAAAATAATTGTAGAGGTACACGAAGAAAAAGATGCTGATTATTTGATACAGTGTGATCATCTTGTGGAATTGGGCTGGAGGTTTCAGCGACCATTTGAAGTAGGACTCTTGTGGTGTGATTAAGAATTAGATCCATCAGAAAAAGAACTATTAGAATCGATATCTTGCTTTGTTGAGATGACTGACGCGAAACGGCTCAAACGCAGAAAGTAGGGTGATGGAGACTCTGGCTGGACTGAAAGTGAATCGGTACGAATTGGGCTCATACCGCCTACGTTACCATCGTATCTGTGCATATATGACATGCAAGTTAAGTGTATAAACTCTGCATCAGAGTTACAGAGGTACAGAGTTACTACACATATTATTACTATACATATTATCGACTGCCTCGTTGGTCTAGTGGTTGTAGTAGTGCGACTGCTGATCATGAGGTCCTGGGTTCGAATCCCGGGTCGGGCCAAAAAATTAATTATTGAGTTTTTCTGTCAAGAAATTCTCAGTATATGCTCGGATTCAGGAAGTTGGCGGTGTCACACACCCGTGCCTCTGAAAGCACGTAAAGTATACGGCTTTTATTGCGTTTAATTAACTTATTTACTACTAACTAATTCCCGACATTTCGGGTGCTTTACAGCAATATAATAGAATTATAAATAAGTTAATTAAAGGCGATGAAATCCGTAAATATTTTGAAGTCGATTAAAAAAAAGAGGCCACAGATGCGTTGCCATATTTGAGGGCTCACATGGAACGCATACAACCTTCCGAAACACAGTAGGTAGGTAACTCTACTTCGTACACTACGAAGTAGAGTTACCTACCTACTTCGTTAAAAATATGTAAATATGTACAAAAATAATTTTCAACCTTATTACAATTTATTTAATTCTAAATTCGAACGTACTTCAAAATACACTTACTTTAAATTCGATGTAAGTCTGGTCTGCAGCGGGATAATCCAAGGCCTTAGCCACTTTTGGTCCGAGGGACCCACCGCTCTTGAAGAGAGCCCGTTCCGTGACATTCATATCGCGGACGTTAAGGACTACGAAGCTCGTGTCCCGGTCCACTTTAAAATCAATTGATACTTCACCTGTTAAAGATAAAATAATATGAAATTTAAATTAAAAAAAAAAACTAAAGCAACACATATTGTCAGTAGCCCTAAAAAGTTAAAGTTACAGCCTACATACGTTCCACTCCTGAGCACAGTTCTCCGCTCATTTCTGAGAGGGTTTTAGGGCAACGAAGTGTCCGCCGCGCTGTTCCAATGCGTGTTGGCGAACTTCACATGTCTTCGAAATATTTTTCTACTTATTCCTCTGTCATGCAGGTTTCCTCACGATGTTTTACTTCACCGCCAACCACGTGGTAAATCAGCACTTAAAATTGCAATTAACAGTTTCATTGGTGCCGGCGGGGATCGAATCCGGTTTGCTCGCGTACTGCGAAATTTACGGAGGTAATCTGTGGAGCTACCACAACCTAATAAAAATCCTAATAAGAATACCAAATTATAATTCTTTTAACAATTAAAAAAGCACTAGCAATGTCATTGACATTACTAATATACTCTTTAACCACTCCTGGGAAGCTTAAAATGCTTGTGTTAGTAGTGGCTCACGACAGCAGTAGAATGGCGGATTTGAACCACGACCTTTTGAATTTGCGGTCCGCACCCTACAATTAGGCTACTGTCGTTATGGGATAAGGTTAGAGCCATGAAATTTCTATAATATTGCCTTCGGTTATAATTGTTCTGCAAAATTTAGAATTATTCAAATGTAAGGGAGTTGGTGAAAACTGAATTGAAAAATTCCATTACATTGTTATAATATATGTTAGCGGCCAAACTAGATTTCTGGCCAAACTAGTTTGTCCTAGGCCAAACTGGTTTATCCGACGCGTGTCTGGACATACTAGTGTTGCCCAGGGTAAGATCATATTATAAAGTTTGGCCTAAATACTTTAGGTTTAACTCGTTTGGCTTTGGCAAAATTGATTGAATCATTGCATAATCTAATCTAACCTAACCTACTGTTGACCTAAATTTACTTCTGAACAACTTGTGACGGGAAGGCAGCCTGATTGGGATGCTCACTTCCGCAGTTTTGGCTTATTGGTCGCCTTCGGTGACCTGCGATTTGCTACGGCAGGCGGGGGCTGCTCTCCCTCCGTGCCTACGGCTTTACAAAAACACTCTAGGGGTAGGGCAGACAAGACTACGTGGAGTCGGGGTGTGCTCATTCGGTTTAAGAGCAGATTCGACTGATCTTATCAAAAACATATATTCCTAGGCCAAAATAATTGAGCCAAAATATTTAAGCCAAGCCGGATTGTCTTGAGCTAAACTAGTATGTCTGTCTGATAAACCGATTTGGCTTAGGACAAACTAGTTTAGCCTGAAATCGGGTTTGACCGGTAATATATGCATTAAATATAGGTCTAATTAATAGAATATGTCTAATTAATAAAAAGCGCATTAACAACTTGTTAGTTCCAGTAATAGGTACGATATTGAATAGGTTCTCATTTCAACAAATCTCGAAGTTTTGAGATTCAAAGTATTTTGCAGTAAAGGTGAAGGATGGCTGCGTTTTGGCGTGTTTGTTTGCTTGCGTGCAATCAACAAAAATTGAATTAAATAATCTTAGCGGCCTGATCTGAGGAGGGTATTTGGGGAAAATAACGTAACAATTAGGAAATTCCTTCAAAGTGATATTATACTTAGTAGCTATTGGAAAGTTATCGTTGACGTTTTTATGAACTGTTTTTATCGAAGAGACTGGCAGGAGCACGGCAGTGCTGCCACCAAGTCGAGCAAAAAGCGCCACGGCCATACCATCCTTTTTTCGAAGCAGGTAAGGCCATTTTCGACATATAACTTCGTTGTGAATAAAACTAGAAATCTGAATTAGTAACTAAGCTGGTATTGTATATACACGGTATATTTCAAATTTCATTCAATTTGAACCAGTAGTTTAGGAATTATAACTAGTCAAAGTTTCTTAATTTTGTCAATCACTGAGTAACTGACTGATCATCAAAACTCTAAGGCACTTTTAACAGACGTAGAAGCTTCAAATTTACAATACAATTAAGGTGTAGTGTATATTTAAGGAAAAACTAAAATATTTTGCAATTTCGGTCCAGTTTTCTAGATGCATCAACTGCATAAAGTGAATGAATCAGTGTACCAGTATATTATGTATAATATAATGGAATTGCTGGTATTCAAGAAGTAGAAGGCACCGGAAAGGAAAGAAAGTAGGACTATCTACAAAAAGAAATGAGATGCCATCAAAAACATAACTTGTAAAAAAACTAACACTACTAAACAATCTAATTTAATATAATATGTATTACTTGTGAGATACATTGTGTTTTCATGCGACGGCCAAGTCAATCTATTTATTTAAAACATAAAAGATTTTTTATATTGATATGGTCACTATAAGATGTTATGTTTGCTAATTACGTAATAACTTAAAACAGAAGGACCCTTAAGTAGGGACTGAATAAATTAACCGACTTGGTATTACACGGATCTCACAACTTTTTACGTTAGAAGAACTGAGTTGCGAGACTTGTTTTTTTTACAAGTTATGTTTTTGATTGCATTTAAGTATACTTAAATGTCTTTGGTGTTTATCCTGTGTCCAGTAGAAATGATAATTTCGTTTCCTAAGCGCCCAAAATTTTGAGTCCAATACAATAAAATAGAATATTGTTGATTATAGATTATAAGGAATTATATTAATGACCTCTAGACAGAATTTCGGTCATGGCGACCAGTTTCAGCAGAGACTAGCCATCACATAAAAGGACACACAAAGGGATTATAGCGCCCAATTATATGCGCGCAAGCAAAGATGTGCTCTTTATTCCCTTATTCTCATAGTCCGATGGGACAGTAATCCGACATGACCGGAGAGAGATCAGGCGCAGGACCAACGGCTTTACGTGCTTTCCGAGGCACGGGGGTGAGACACCGCCAACTTCCTGACTACGGAGAATTTCTTGACAGAAAATTTCGGCCCGACCTGGGACTTGAACCTTGAAAGGGCCAACGCGGCAGTTGTTATGAAAAAACAAAAACGAATGTGCATATGAACACACGACTGAAGTAAAACTTCTTTAGCTCCATCTGTATGTATATATAAATTTACTATCGTCTTCCTTCCATAATTTGTTATTATTCACCCGAAAATTTACAAAACATGAACTTTAAAATGAATTTATAATTTTATTCACTTTAAACGTAGAATATAAAAATAGTACATAGATAATAGTATAACCGTAGAAATTCGGAACGTAACTGACTAGGGGAGAAAGAGGGAAAGAAAACGTGTGCTTGCACTGCTCTCTCTTGCTTTTATCCCTCACTCAACTCCCGTTCGCCTCGCCCGATCACACTTTTCGTAACGCTTTCGTGACGCGTTCGCCAGCTTACTTCCCAAGTAAAGCGTTCGTAAAGAAGTTTTACTTCAATAAATAGTCGTTATAAGTACTCGTTATGCTTAGATATTGTAAGTAATTTATTCCATCCCACAAAAAGTGGGATTATCAGTTCTCTTACGCCGTTATCACACGGCTAGATTATGTTAAAGTTACTTATATTTAGTTGTTTTTAAAATAAGGTATAGCTAGTCGCTTGAAACAAGCATTGAAACAAAGAAATGTAAGAAACTTTGATTACAATATTACCTCTCAGTTCGCCCGTTGTTAAATTAGGATGCAACCAGAGACTGTAGTGCTTCGGTAAGATGAAGGTAGGAAGCCGAGCCCCTCGCCATGGGAACACGACGCCATTGGTCGCGATCCGATCCCTGGAAACATGGACCACTGTAACGGAAATCATAAATATACAGAGATACATACATAACCTATCACGCCTGTCACCCATTTGGTATGAACCTGTTCCTGTGACACCTTTTTCGCTCCTATCACATCTATATGCTCGTATCTACACAAACATGCTTATCGGTTAAGGGTACTCCTAATATCATATATATGTATAATATACATAGAGAGTGAATTTTATGTTTTTTTTATATAGGATTCTAAGGATTTGTACAGTCAAATGAAAGATAATTAAGGAATAAGACTTTTAAGAGTGCAGTTTTATTTGTATTATTACTAATTCTGTCATGCAATAAAATAAAGAAAAATTTTTTAAGATTGTTGTTAACAATTGATAATAATAGTATTTACTAAAAATCAGTGTATGTATTATGATTATAACATAATTACTAGTTGAGGGTGTCGTTAATTAAGTTACATATTGTATATAAAAATTAAAACGATCAACGAACTTACAGTCCATCTATTGGTAAGTGGATGTTACAATCTTGAAGCAGAAACTTTTTTTATTCAATATATTATACATACGTTATATATAATACTTATTGAAACGCATTCTAAGTGAATATTCGAACCCCACATGAAAAGCAGTCGCGTTTAAGGTGACACCGTGAAAAAATGCATCTCCTTTCATCGAATATTATAGCTATGACACTACTAACGAAAGTGGAATTTTGATATAGGTAAATTCATGTCTTTATCTTGAATTTGATTTCTGTATAATTTTGACTCGATCATAATTATTTGCGAAAACACCTCTAAAAAATCACTATAGTTGAAATTATAACGAAATTACTTAATCTATATGCTTGGGAATCACTCAAATATATTCATAACATCAATATTCATAATTTACTTGCTCATTATTTTGATTACTTAAATCAATAATTTTTAAAAAATATATTATTCTGACAATTTCTAAGCGCTTTTAATCGACGAGGGCGCTACGCTATTTTAGATCTTATGACGGCGTTTTTTCAAGTTTTATAGAAATTATGTATTCACACGGATCAGTACGGCGATAGCCTTTTCCATGTGTCGTCTTAAGCTCAAAACTTACTTGTTAGCAGCAGCCACACTAGTTTCGGCCTCCGTCGGCGGTTGTCCTAGTATCATGGGATTATCTCCATTACACGGGCAATCTGTAACAATTATTTAAGAAAAAATGTTTTCAATTTTTCTTTTATTATAATTTTTCTTTCGTGACTCTTCTTTAAGCCTAATGCTTTTTATGTGGTAGAGTTATGTTTCAGTTATATTAAAAATATTTGCAGCACGAATGGGTCGGCTTAATCGGGGCAGGACAACGCTCTCACAGAAAACCAGTAAAATAGTAGCTTAATGCTGCTGTGTTTCGTATGGTGAGTGTAGATAACCGGAGACCCTTTTTACTAGAAACGAGGCATTCCATCTTATATATTAGGGCTGAGAACGCATTTGTATTTTGATTCTTAATCTAGTATAAATTTAGATGTCTATGGGCCACATTATACTACATACGGACATATATATATATATATATATATATATATATATATATATATATATATATATATATATATATATATGAAGTAAAAATTAAAGTTACAGCCTATATACGTCCCACTGCTGGGCACAGGCCTCCTTTGAGAATGTCGCCGCGCCCCCAGTGCGTGTTGGCGAACTTCACATGTCTTCGAAATATTTTTTTTTCTTATTTCTCAGACATGCAGGTTTCCTCACGATGTTTTCCTTCACCGGCGAGCACGTGGTAAATCAGTACTTAAAATTGCAATTAACAATTTCATTGGTGCCGGCGGGGAACGAACCCGGTTTGCTCGCGTATTGCGAAATTTACAGTGAGCGCTAACCATCTGAGCTACCACGGCTCGCAGAATTATATATATATATATATATATCCTATACCTTTAAACGAGCAATTCTTGTATATATATATATATATATATATATATATATATATATATATAATCGGAATCTCGGAAACGGCTCCAACGATTTTCATAAAATTTTGTGTGCAGGGAGTTTCGGGGGCAATAAATCGATCCAGCTAGGATTTATTTTTAGAAAATGTCTTTTTGTCCATGTTTTTAGGCAATGAAAAACTGCTACAATATCGTTAGAATAAGAAGGTAAATTTTGACAGTTTATTAATGATTACAAATAGCTTAATTGGTATATTGGGCGGTCACATAATGGTAATACCATGGTTCGAGCCCAGACCGACCGATTTTTTAAAAAAAAATTTTAAGTTCCTTTCTTTTTTTGAGAAAATCTATTTTTTCGAGCCCTTTTTTTAGTATTTTTTAAAAACACGAAAATTTAAATTAATCTAATTGCACTCATGATTTTTTATTCAAAAAACCAGTTCAGTTTTTTCTATTATGTCGTTAAGATCAAAAAAATATTATTCGTATTTCATCAGTATGTAATTTATATCTAAATATAATTTCCAAAACACATGAATTAAAAAAAAACCGAGCGAAAAATACCGAGCAAAGCTCGGTCAACAGGGTACTATATATATATATATATATATATATATATATATATATATATATATATATATATATATATGATAGCCTAATAAACATGCGGTTGCAGTCAGTAATAAACCTACATTCAAGACCAGTAGACGTATTATTTATTCCCCGAACCTCCCGACATTACATGGCGACCCTTATATCATTTTGAATAAATATTTATAAAATAAAATTAAAACATTATAAGTATAAAATCAAAAGGCAAAGAGGCATCAAAAAGGATAAAAGAAGATGAGAGAAATAACTTTTTCACTCCGGATAAGAAGAATATTGGTTGAGAAGATCTACATAAATTGAATACGCAATGGTGTTCACATAGGAAATTTTACATTATCAAGATATATACACAATTTTCGAAAACTCGTAACAACCAAGCAATACAAAAAGGAGATATTTATCAAAACATAAAATTATCAAGAATTTAATCGAGTGGCCAGTTTTTAGGAGGGCTGAATTTTTTGTGTATTCCATCTACAAGGAAACGGGAAGTATGTTATATTCAAGAAACATAAAAAAAATTTAATCGAGACTATAATGTGAAAAATATGCTTGATGTATCTGCAAAACAATTACTGTATAAAATGCAAATAATATTATTATATTTTTAAGGTGAGTGATTTTAAATATGTATCTCTTTTAAAATTCTAATTTCATAAAATTAAAAATATAATAACTTTAGTCACCAATCTTATTTAGAAATGTTTTTTACCAATTTTGTTTACTCATTTTGTTCATTTAATAGACGGAACACTCTCAATAGAAAGCAAGTGCTACTTGTATATTCATGTCCTTATTATTATGGCGTGATTATTTTAATTATCTATTTTGTTCTAAAATATTTAACATAATGAATGAGAAAAAAACAGGAACTTCATTATATTGCTATCAGATAAACGACAACTCAATGAATAAATTTTGTAAAAGATAAATTGATCGATGAATAATATTAATTTAAAACGCAGCTTAACTTAATAACTCAAAAGAATATTAACTGATATATTTTATTAATAATGAAAATTGCAATATTTTATACAGATATTATTTAAGAATTCATCGAAATGTAATATCATGTTTTCTTTGTATTAACATTGCGCATCAAATTCTAAACAATACTGACGTGATCTTTTGCATATAAGGCATCGGAATATCACACGTAGTTGATACAAAAGGATGCATTAATATACACTACTGGTGTCTCCTGACTTGCCTTCAAAATATTGACTTTATACTTTTTCATTTACTTTATCTGCGATTAAAATCCAGTATTCAATTGATAAAAAAAATACTTGATAAAATAAACTATTATTTTGTAATACAAAACTGTATAGTAGTTCGATACTTTTTTTTTTGAGATAATATGATTATTGAATTTCGGTAATGGCTCTAAACTCTAATGACTTATGAACTATTGAAGCTGAGACAAATGTTAAATCACTTATATAAAAGAAAAAAAATGCGGAATAGGATTAATGATGTCAAAACATAAAGTTTATGTAGTATGGAAAAGCAATTGTTTGTGCCTTAAAAGTATAAACTATTTGCACAAAAGAGTAAAAGAAAGAATAGAATAAAAAAAGATCTTAAGTCAAAGTATAGAAAGGAAACTGTATGAGAATGGTAGCATTGATAGATGTGATGACACTAAGGTTGTGTTCGAATATATTGGGATGGTGTATATATTTGAAAAGAACAGTGAAATATTAACTTAACTACGAGTATTTGTAATCGGCTAGATCAACCGATGAACAACTATGGTTGTGTTATTTTTTTTTCTCTTGAAGAATGTTGAGGTTTTGGTATGGATGTGTGCAAGTTGAAGACAGACTACGGCAATGAAAGGAATATAATAAGTATGGATTTTAAATGTTGTAATATATGTTGTATATGGAGAATGATTTATGTGATGTTTAGATTATTAGATTTTAATATCAAAATTTTGCTAGTTATTGGAATGAAGGAATTAGGCTATCGGATATTATCTTAGCCAATGTTTAGGGCCCAAACTCTGGTTATGTTAATAAACCGATATGCTTAGTTGAAAGGAGATGGAATGAGATTGAATGAATATAAAAGTATCCGATACAGACAAAGATTTACGAAGATAATAAAAAAGATGACCATGAGAAATAAATGATGGAGAGATACGGGAACGTTCATCACTGGTATAGCGTATAGTCCTCGAGCAGGGTACGTTTCCGTGATTGGACGATGAAATCGGAGTAACGGGTACTAGGGAACAACGCCTTCAGTACAAGTGATGTAACTGAGTTTACTCATATTAGTACTGTTAGGGACCAGAGAAGTCTTAAATTTGTTACCCTTATTAATGGTACATTGAGGTCACATCCTTCGTTGGATCATGGTGCGAACTTAGTTTTCCTCTGTGACAATTGTTGGAGTCCATTTAAAGTGACATAGACCTCAAGGTTGTGCGCACAACCCAAGGTACATTTTACCTTGATATAGAAAAAAATGTTTATGTACCAATAAAATGAAATGAATGTTACGAAAATGTAATATAATACCCAAATAAATGGGGAGCCCATATTTATAAAGTACCCGCGTGATAAAAATCACGAAATAAAATATAAATGAAATGAATTAATACTCCGATTCCCGGTATCTAATAAATAAATAAACATATAAGTGAATAGAGAGAAAGAGAGCTAGCTAAAGGTCAAAAATATTAGGAAGAAATAAAAGAAAGTACGTACAAGAATTATGGAAAAAGGGCCTATTAATCGACAAAAATACAGGATTATAAGGGGATTTCCGAGCAAATCAAAAGGTGTGATAAATGTATGATAATCTAAAGGTGAGATAGGTAGTTATTTTGCATTTCTGTATTAGGACTATTTAATGCTACCCAAAATGCGACTAACGAGTTGCACATGTAATAACTATAGGGACCGATTTACACAACTACGCGAAAATGTGTTGTGTGTGTATGTATTGTGTGCGTAATTGTTTAACCACATTTGTATATGAATTTACGAGATATTTTTTTCATATTTTAGGCACATTGATTCATATTTACTACAAATCTTGTAGAATTTTTTGTCATATGTTTTTTATGTAAAATTTGTACATTTTAAACTATATTTGGTTTATATTTTGCTTATAAAATAAAGTCCAGAGTATATCAATACACTATTATTATAAATTTATTAATGTAATAGTATTCTTTTTACGTTTTTTCTTTAGAAATGACAACGGAGCCAAAAATAATGTTATCTATTTGAAATAAAATTGCCTTTTTCAATGTTAATAAATATTTCGTAAAACATACTTAAGCTGTGTACCTAGCAGTGTTTTCTTTTTTATATAAATTTCATGTCATGAAAAAATGAGTTTTCGAAATTATAAATAACTTAATTAATGTTTTTTTGTTAATGTACCTATGTAAAAAAAATACTTTTACAAAATTAATTTAAAATTGAATGTAACAATCTATATTTAGAGGTACAAACCATTGGGAAAGTTAAATTCATTTCATTTACGATATAATTTTAATGCATGGTTAAAACTAGGTACCATTATACAATGTAATCGAAAAAACGTTCCCATGAACATACTTAAAAATTTAAAAAAAAAATTCAAACAAACCGCTTACACGGCCGAGATTGTAAGTTGTATTTGATCCCTGTTGTTATGTTAATAATTTTGATTATGTTGCACTAGGCCGCTGTGTGACAAAACATGTAATATTAAACGACTATCATTTTTTGCCAACTAACGATCACGCGCGTATAGGCGAATGATTAACAATACAAAGAAAAGGTTCTTTTGACCAGAGTTAGAGACTATATAATATACGATGAGACAAGTGTTTGCGATATAAACACTTAAATAAATATATAAAGAAACCAATGGTTATAACCGATTTATGGGATATTCCACTTTTCATAGAGTTTATTTAGATTTAGTAGGGCCCTTATGTAAGCATAGTGCTAGTAATGTTTATATACTCACACACTCACAGTGTGATTTAAATAAGTATGCTGAAGTTTATCCACTTAAAAGTAAGGATACTATTTCAATGGCATTAGCTTCTTATAGATTTGTTTAGATTTAAAATGAATAATATAGTTTAAGTTTAAGAATATAAAAAAAATTGTAAACACCTTACAATATTTTTGATAACTATAATTTTGTTTTAAAAACTGTATTTTCAGTCTAGTGAATTAATAGTTATATAATATGAAAATTTTATAAGTTATGCAGTAATGATAGGCGAATTAAAATTATTTCACAACAAAAACTTAAAGATTCAATACAATTACGTAAGGAATTTGATGATTGTTTAAAAAATTTAAATACAGAGATAGAAAGTTATATTTTTTTTAAATTACGGTGTTTACGATATTTTATTTTTATTTTATTATGTTATAAATATAATATAGTAGGTATACGAATTTTAATATTTTAAAATAATGTACATTTTTTTTTGATTTTTACACCAAGTTGTAATTCATTGAAAAAAAATTTTGTAATTCAATTTTTTTTCTTTTTGCCGATAGGCGTGTAGTGTGTGTGTAGTGTATGCTCATTTTTTTTTATATATATATGATAGCCTAATAAACATGCAGTCAGTAATAAACCTACATTCAAGACCAGTAGACGTATTATTTATTCCCCGAACCTCCCTACATTACACACAGAAGCATTAAGCTACTATTTGACGCTGGTATTCTGTGAGAGCGTGGTCCTTCCCCGATCGAGCCGACCTATTCGTGCTACAACTATGCTACTAATATAACTGCTGGCTCTACCACGTATAAGAAGTGTCTGTCCAGTGAAGTGAAGAGAAAAGTGTAAGTGCCAGTCTGCTGAGAACATGCGAAAAGACTGGAGTGTGACGACCAATTGCGGACTCTGATGTCTGGATTCTTGAAAAAACTGCGAAGACCTCGAGGTTGGTGGCGTACACAGTAGTACAGAGAGCTGGTGCCGAATTAATGACTGACATGACACACACAAACACAATCTGTCCGCACTGGCGCTCTGAGTACAGTACCCGCCCCTTTATGTTCGTTCGAAAAACCAAAAAAATCACGGCTGGCTCTGCGCGCAACTTCAAATGCTCTAAGTGTGCACATGAAATGCACAGTTCACGCACGCAAAGCTTCCAGACTAACAAAATTTGTAATAATGTTTATTACATTACACGATACTTGCACTTTGTGGACGGCAAAATCTTTCATTTCATACGTTGCGTAAGTCTGGACGCGGCATAATGTGTATCAGTGCTTATACAATACCCGTACTAACTTCCATGATATAGTGGCGGCGCAATAAAACCCACAACGTCATGTCATCCCGCGGGTACCGTAAAAGGCGACAGGGGGAAACTTAAACCAGTATTTTCCTGTCATCAACTCAAAGTAATAAAAAACCGCCTGCAAAGCATAATAACTATATCATCATTATCATCATCATTACTGCCCTTCACAAGTCCACTGCTGAACATAGGCCTCCGCCATGAAATGCCACAAAGCACGGTCCTGAGCCACCTGCATCATGCAACGACACAAACAAATATATACGTGTAAATAATTAACATAATTTCCTACACTTATCTAAATTGCGTAATTGTGTCAACATAAAGCTAACCATAACATAATATTACATTGTGGGCTTTGGTGTGGGGTACACGTCAAGTGCTATGAGTGTAAATTAAGTGTCTTGTATTATATTTAGTGGCAATGGGCCGGCCACATAGCTCGAAGAATCGACAACCGATAGGGAAGAAAGGTTATCGAATGGTAGCCACATACCGGTAGGCGAAGTGTAGATGATGGAATGATCTGGTAAGACCGGACCTGATAAGAAGTACCGTGCTTTGTGGCATTCCTCAGGGGCGGCCTATGTTCAGCAGTGGACTTGTGTCATGCAATAATGATAATCATGATGACATTAATGTGTAACTATTTTGTCCCAATTAAATAAAATTAAAATAAATTATGATAAATCAACTCGGCTGGGCAGCGCTCGGAAGATTGCGATCTGGTCAGGCATATCTTAAAATCTCAAAACTAGATTGTACAACGAGCCTGTTGCTCCAGTAATGACCTACGGATCTGAGACATGGTCCTTTACTGCCGGCTGTATGAGGAAGCTCAAAGATAAACTTAGGAATGAGGATATTCGCAGTATTAGTAAACAAGTGGCAATGGGCTGGCCACATAGCTCGAAGAACCGATAACCGATGGGGTAAAAGGTTCTCGGTGGCAGCCTCGTACCGGCAGGCGAAGTTTAGAACGTCTCCCCAATAGATGGAGTGACAACCTGGTAAGACATGCAGGAAGTCGATGGATGCAGGTGGCTCAGGTCCGTGCATTGTGGTACTCCTTGAGGGAGGCCTATGTTCACCAGTGGACTTGTGAAGGGCTGTAATGATGATAACAAATCCCCCTTACGAGTATGACAAATCTATGGTAGAGCGTTGGTCTTTAATAGTCTAATGATGATTATAATAAAGGACTTACCATGCTGTGGAGTAGCGTACACTATGATAAGCGCTGTAGCAAACATCGCCGAGAACACGAGACCGGTGAGACAGAGCGCCCGCCTTTGTGAGCATACTGCTACAGGCGCCTCGCCCAACTCCCTCGCTTCTCTTGCTTTGTCCGTGTCTGGAAAAGATATAGCAGCAGATGAGCAGAGTATTAGTGTATATAACTGTACTACTGTATATAACTGCTGGTTGGGGGCCTGACGTCTAAAAATGTTGAACCCCCGACCACCAGGTAGGTGCGAGGAGCGTTATGCGTACCAATGCGTCGTTGAAATCATCTTACGTAGATACATAGTTGTTGTATCCAGGCCTCGAAGAGCTGCAGGATTGTAATTTAAAATTTCTGAATGTTATAAATTAGAATAGGTAAATATAAATTAAAATAAAAAAAAACGACGGGTTGTACTCCGGGGGTGCCGGCAGAACTTGAATATTAACGTTGTGCATTTTTGATATTTTGTAATGGTTAGGGAATAATTTTGCACGAATTGCTTTAATTATCAGTATAAAAGTACTATCATTTATGTGGTACAATACAATATTTATTTATTGCGCTATCGTACACAAACATGACAATTTATATTACATTAAAAAGTTTATTTCTCAGAAAAATCAACTTCCATACATAATTTCGACGACGTCTTACGAATTTTCGATCAGGGTCACGTGTCCTGACGCGAGTTTAAATTTTTTACCCATTACAAAAAGTGTACAACGCCGCTAAAGAAGTTTTCGTCTTATGAATTTTCGATCAGGTCACGTGTCCTTGCGCGAGTTTAACATTTTTTACCCCTTACAAAAAAGTGTACAACGCCGCTAAAGAAGTTTTCACTTCAAAAATTATTTGCTAGCCTACCGCCCTCCCTCAATTGCGTCCCCGTTACCACTTATCCCAGTACCACTACTGCCAACACCGCTACACTAGGAAAGACACACTATCGTCGATAATACGACACGTGTTTCGCCTCTACACGAGGCATCTTCAGGTGAAGTAGACTCTAGGTGGCTGACACAAATTAAATGCGATAAAATTATATGCGAAAAAAATTTGTTTTAATCAGCGTGCATTATTCGTGTAAATATAAGAAATCTTTATGCGGATAACGTTCAAAATCACTTCAATATTAAAAAAACATACAAGTGCATCTCAAGCCACGTTTTGAAGTCAAAGAAATCTTTAAGACTCTTAAAACTTGGCATGCATTCAGTTTTAAAACGTCAAGTGAGTTACACTCATTTTTCTAAAACTCAGAAGTATTTAGCCTATAATTTTTGTATTTTACTTTCTTGGCCTATAGATATCGATATATTTTAAAAATCAATTTACAATCCATCTATGTTCCAGCCTTTTCTTTAATGTGAAACGGACGTTTTACACAAAATTCACCAAATATTTGACAAACCAGAACCTAGTTTTATGGCGGACTGACTTTTATAGTTTTTTTTATATTTATTAATATTTAACCTTTTTAATGATTGTTCTTTTTGCCACTAAGCTCTATATTATACAAGTTTTTGCCTTTTTGCCTTTGTTTTTTCTTTCAACATCATATCTTTTAAACCGACTGCAAAAAATAGGAGAATGTTCTCAATACTACTGTATAATTTATGTGTGTTATCTCTAGAACTTTTTTCAAAGTGAATTTGATAATTCTTTTTAAGCTATTGCATAGCTTCTATCGCGTGCCTTGAGCGCGGGGACCGAATCCAGAAATTCCGTAACGAAAAAAACCTCACGCTCCCCACTCCGACGGGCACGGAGGTGTGGCGTTGAAAGCCGTGCATCGTCTAACGTCGTTTTAGTTCGGCAGAACTCGGCACTCGGCAGACTTCGGCACGGTGTTTGCGTGCGTGTACACTAGCTGCTAACTCAATGATAAAAATTCCTGAATAACCTACATGTATTGTAAGATATTAAAAATATTTTAAACAATATTAACTTGTCATTTATTCAATAAGAGAAAAAAATTGTTCTTTCTTATCGGTCACCACGCTCAAAAAGTGTAACTTGATTTAATATCAAAGACTTAACTGCATAAATAAAGTAAATAAATAATTATAATTGCATAAGTTGATAAAAAATGCTATGCAATAGCTTTACCGCGGCAGTCACCGAGTGCCACACGTATTTTTTTATGTATTTATTTGCTTCTCATATTGTCCCATATAAATTTGATAAAGATCTGACCAGTAGTTTTAGAGTTATCCTTAATAATGCGTATTTAATTGAGTTCGACTACATTAATGATGTTCTTTAGTCGAGGGAAGCCCGACCGATGGGGCTCCTACTTTTGAGTGGTTTGTAAAAAAATAACCGCGAAGGAGATCTTATTCTAACCTAACCTGTCGGAGTCGGGATGCCTAAGTCCCATCCCACCTTCAAAATACGATTCAATCAATTGTTCACAATATTACCAATTTATCTTTTAATAGTTCCATAATCTGGTATTTTGACTGCCTCGATGGTCTAGTGGTTGCAGTAGTGCGACTGCTAATCATGAGGTCCCGGTTCGAATCCCGGTTCGGGCCAAAAATCAATTACTGAGTTATTCTGTCGAGAAATTCTCAGTAGCTGCCCGGAGTCAGGAAGTTGGCGGTGTCTCACCCCCGTGCCTCGGAATCGGAAAGCACGAAAAGCCGTTGGTCCTGCGTCTAATCTCTCTCCGGTCGTGTCAATTTACCGTCCCATTGGATTATGAGAGCGAGAGAATAGAGAGGGCATCTGTGCTTGCGCATACACTTGGGCACTATAATCCTGTCCTGCGCCGATGGCTAGCCTCCGTTGAGGCAGGCCGCCGTGGCCGAAATTTGGTCTGGAGGATATTGTTATTATTAATATTTAATTATTTAAAAGCACACTTATCTCAAACACTGCACTGTGGAAAAAACAAACAAATGTGACTGGCGAAGTAGCGAGACGCGAGCGAAGTATACGCGCGAACTTCATGGCAAGTTCCATGCATCGCCTTGAACACGTGTTTAGTAGAATTGTTGGCACACAAACCCGTGTGCAATTGGAGGACACGTGCCTTGAATTGAACACGAGTTTGTAAAGGCAGTTACCGCGACAAATCCGTGCGTGTTACAAGGCAGTACTGCCTCCTAGTGAATACGGAAATGTAAATATCATAGAATACTATAATACATACATAATAGAACGGGGGAGTGGGCCCTCCTTTCTGACAAGGAGGGTCGCGTTCGTATACGGCTTAGAGATCTCTAGACAGATCGTTAAGCCAATTCCTAAAAGGTTGAGTTTAGTGGGTAAAAGTCACCACATAACCACGCAGCCGGCTGCGTGGTATGCTATGAGCATTCTCAACCTCCCCCTCCCCCGCTTTCCGGAGGGTTGCCCATATTTGCTTCGGGCGCAAAAAAAAAACGGGGGAGTGGGCGGAGCTCGTGTAGCCACTAAAATGTCACTAACGTGTCAATTCACACGTATAAATATCAACACGAGATGTGTTTTGACGTTACAATCGTTTCCAAATTTCGCATGCAAATTACAAATTGCACACTATTTACAAATAAATATGTATTAAAACTTAAACGTTTTTTTTAATGATGATCTTGAACATTAACCAAGTCTAAAATGCCTAAAATTACTCAGTCTGTCAACACAGAGAATCGGGTTTGTAGTAGTGATAAAATGACGTAATTGCTTGTATGTGTGCTCCCGGCGACTCCGAACCTCGTACAAAATAAGGTTGACAGCCATTCTATTGTGTATTAGGCTCGACTGATTTTGATTAAATTTTTTGTGTGTGTATGAGCGGGCAGTTTAGATTCACAATTGGACCAAGTAGATAGCGCTGTTGTCGAAATCCAGCAATCACTTGTATCACTTGCGGCGGATCACTTCTATTAATTTATATATAATACAAATATCTGTATGAAATATCGAAAGAACTGCTACACTATTAGGACATGAAAAGCCATACGTAATTTTTTTGCCTGCTATCTGCTGGCGAATGTCCCGTTAAAATCAGTCCAGCCACTTTTTTTATAGGATGAGTTGATGGTAAGTGGTTGCTGGGGTCCGTAGACATCTACATCTATCCTCGATTACGAATCGTAATGCAGATGCGTTGTCACCGGTGAGAACTAAGATGGAATGCCTCGTTACCAGTAAAATGGGTCTCCGGTTCTCTACACTCACCGTACGAAACACAGCAGCATTAAGCTACTATTTCACGCTGGTTTTTTGTGAGAGCGTGGTCCTTCCCCGGTTGAGCCGACCCGTTCATGCTACAACTATACTACTAATATAACTGCAGCATGGCTCTACGAGGTATAAGACATTAGCCGGAACAAACGGACTGACTGGCAGACAACATTTTTGAAAATTGTGTTTTTGTTATAAATACCGTATATACTTTCATATGCATTTAATAAAAAGCTGTTACTTTGACATTACAGACGGACACTTCAATTTTATTTATTTGTACGAGTATATTAGTATTGGATCCGGTACTGCCTCGTTGGTCCAGTGGTTGTACCTAGTAGTGCGACTGCTGATCATGAGATCCTGGGATCGAATCCCCGGTCGGACCAACAAAATCAATTATGGAGTTTTTCCGTCAAGAAATTCTCAGTAGCTGTCCGGAGTCAGGAAGTTGGCGGTGTCTTAACCCCGTGCCTCTTAAAGCACGTAAAGCCGTTGGTCCTGCGCCTGATCTCTCTCCGGTCGTGTCGGTTTACCGTCCCGTCGGATTATGAGAGTGAGGGAATAGAGAGTGCACCTGTGCTAGCGCACACTCGTGCACTATAATCCTGTCCTGCGCCGATGGCTAGCCTCCGTTGAGGTAGGCCGCCGTTGCCGAAATTCGGTCTGGAGGACATTACCCTATATACTTTCATACGCATTTAATAAAAAGCTGTTATTATGACATTACAAACCGAAACTTCAATTTTATTTATTTGTATTGGATCCAGTAGGTGAGTTTGTTGTATAGATCCAGAAACCACCCGTGCGAAGGCGGGGCGGATCGCTTGTATTCATTTAAATCTAACTGCTGTTATGCTGTTAAGACATGAAAAGTCATACATAAAATTTTTGTCTGTCTGTGTAGGCTTCTTAATAACGGTTGAACCATAGAATACTATAATACACAATAG